TCAGTTATAGTATTCACTGCCACTCCTTGGAGGATATTTCAATTTTACAATTAGGCACTTGCCATCTTTTAAAATATGCATCTACAATGTTTCTCCATTCCTCCGGTGTCCTTGGTAGCTAGAATAAATAAAAAAGTGGAATAATCCAGATTAACGCCCCGGCCACATCTGGACGACACGACGGTCGTGTCGGTGGCCGACACGGCGCCGGGAGCCTAATCGTTTATGTTGATCACACTTCCTATTCACTAGTGGCAAATATTTCAAATTATGGATTACAAGACACGTATTATTCTCCTCTTGCTATTGTTGAAAAGGCGCAAAAAAAGACAAAGGGAATATATATTCTTATTCTTTATTTGTCTTGTAATCCATATTTTGCAATATTTGCCACTAATCCGAACAGTACAAGCGACAGTGATCGACTCAACATACAAAACGACGATCCAAATACTTGGACTAGCAGCTTTGCCGGCGTCGGCGCCGGCACCGACGCCGTGTCGGCCACCGACACGACCGTCGTGTCGTCCAGATGTGGCCGGGGCCATATGTACATTTTATAAAACATTTTCGTAACGGCTACTTACTTTTACATAATCTGATAATCCTTCAACCAAAGCGTAACATACTTCAGGAATAATGCTTGAAATTAGTTGAGGAGAAACTTTGAAGACGTTGCAAAGACTATTAAATGAATTTCCCGAGCTGAGATATTTTAACGTTATTGACAATCGGTCTACTGGTGAAATTGCTATTCGGTAATTAGTGTCTTGTTTAGATATTCTGTGTCCAACGATATTCAGTAAATATTCAAATTGGGAACAGGTTAATGACATAAATGTTTGGAAAGAAACGGGTCTCTACCTACCTAACTATGTCGTCTTTTTTTAAATCACTTAATCTTTCACTAGTACTCGTACTAAAACAACTGCGACTCATTAAGCTTGGCCTGACCCAACAATTCCGCGTTTTGAGGGATCTACTTATAATAACTGCACAAGCTGCTAAAATTAGATCACTATCGTCCTCGTCCATGTCAAATATTGAAAATACGTAGTAATAATCCGAAACACACGCGCAACGTCTCCGAACACTCGGCAATCACTAATTAAGAACGATGCCGCGAATATCATGACGCCGGCGGCATGTTCGTGGCTGGTTTGTAGAAGCCGCCGAGTTTACCCGCCGGCATTAAGCCGCCGGGTTCGTGCCGCCGGGCCGGCAGCTTTGGTGTGTAGACAGCTGAAAGATTCCACGCAGGATCCTCAAATGCTGTATCGTAAATATGTATCAACATCGCATAAGGTGACGAATCCTGCATATACGCGTATGAACCCGAAACGAAAAACCAGTCACGGGTTTGGGTATTCGAAAATGAGTTAAAGCCAACAAACATTGTTCGTTCACGGAGTGTTGCAAAAAAAATGGTGGCCACGTTTGTCTCCAAAACCGGCCATGTTACGACTATTCCTCTTGAGGGACTAAGAACGGTTAATACAGAATGGTATGCTACTCTAACTGTTTTACAGTTACAGTATTTATCGGGCCTTCGTCTTGAAAATGTGATGATATAAATTTTACGAATTCAATTTGTTTTAAGCTTTTACCGAAAAGGCAGAGTGAAAAAACGGCGGTTAAGTGTAAGTAAGTAATCCCGATACTTTTAGTGCAGCCTAGGTATCGACAGGAATCTTAGACATAATCGTGAGGGATAGTTTCGTCCTTTATAACACTTAACCGCCGTTTTTTCACTCTGCCATTTCGGTAAAAGCTTAAAACAAATTGAATTCGTAAAATTTATATCATCACATTTTCAAGACGAAGGCCCGATAAATACTGTAAATGTGTAAATAAGTAATAACGTATGTAAATAAGTAAATGAATCTCGTAAAAAGAATTGAACCCAAAACACATTTAAACTTATTAGTTTAAAGGTGTTTTGTTTCAAAATTTTTTTGTTCAGTTTTGCATATTACGAGGGTACTGAAAATTTCGGGAATCAAGGAAGTAACACAACATTACAATTTAAAAATGTATTTATTGCTTTTCGTAGTATTCTCCGCGAAATTTGACACATTTTTCCATACGATGGAACCAATCATTAAAGCAACCATTCCATTCGGAAGTTGGGGTCTCCAAAATGGCCGTTTTGTAGACGTCCACAGCTTCTTCAAGTGATGAAAATCTCTGTCCATGCAATTTATTCTTTATTTTAGGGAAAGTATAGAAATCATTAGGGCTTAGGTCGCGGCTGTACTGCGGATGGTCTAATGATTCTATGTTTTCTTGCTCTAAAAACTCTTTTGTTCTGTGTGCGGTGTGAGAACTCGCATTGTCGTGATGGAGGATGGTGCGGCGGTTGCAGTTGTCTTTACGGAGTTCAAAAACGACCTGAGGCAAACAAATGCTAGCATACCATTCTGTATTAACCGTTCCTTGTCCCTCAAGAGGAATAGTCGTAACATGGCCGGTTTTGGAGACAAACGTGGCCACCATTTTTTTTGCAACACTCCGTGAACGAACAATTTTTGTTGGATTTTTAAATCATTTTCGAACACCCAAACTCGTGACTGGTTTTTTGTTTCGGGTTCATACGCGTATATGCAAGATTCGTCACCTGATACGATGTTGTATACAGTATAGTATGTTGTATACATATTGATTATTGGAAATAATATTATATTTATTTAAGAAATCAGAAAGTCGTGTGTTCATTAATCGCTCCAGAACTTTCGACAATGAGGGCAAAATAGAAATGGGTCTATAATTACTGATACTGGCCCTGTCTCCGGTTTTATAAATTGGTTTAACGATTGCAGTCTTGAAACAGTGAGGAAATACGTCTTCTATGAAGCTTCTATTACATATATGTGTTATTGGAGGTACGAGAACGTGACTAGACATTTTTAGCACCTTAGTAGGTATATCATCCATTCCAGTAGCTGAACTATTTTTAAGTTCAGTAATAGTATTATATACTTCAAGAAATTCGGTATCAGTTAAAACAAATGAGTTAGAAATAGAACTATCCATTTCGTACGGCTTAGGCTGAATATCTCTAGGAATCTTCTCTGTTAGGTTTTTCCCTAATTCGCAAAGTATGTATTTACTTGATTAATTGAGACATTAGGATTATCAGCAATTTGAAGCAACTCACTATTATTGTGAAGTACTTTTGGGTTTAATTTGAGAACAGATCTAATTACATCCCACGTTTTTTTAATATTCTTACCAGCTTCTATAAATTTATTTTTGTTATAATTACTTTCGACCTTTTTTAAGATTTCATTGCAAAAATTTCTATAACGCTTGTAGGTAATATTTATTACATTATTTTCAGGAAAGTTTTTTGATTCGGCATGAATTTTATCACGATTTCTTATGCACCGTAACAATCCCGGTGTGACACATGGTTGGAGGATTCTTTTACGATTTGGTATGACTTTTGTTTTAGTATGTTTATTCACAATATTCGTAATTTTAGCGACTAATAATTCCGTAGCTTTGTTTGTATCCTCAGATTCCAAAACAGGGCTAAAATCTGTTCTAAATCGGTCACAATACTATTAAAATCTATAATTTTCTGATTTAATAAAGATTTTGATATTTGATTTATTTTATTAACGCTAAAAATAGTAGTATAATGATCTGTTATGGTTGTAAGAATAACAGCTGTTGATGTTTCTAGTTCTGATTTTAATATTATGTAATCTAAACAGCTCTGTTCTCGGGTAGGGATCATGTGCCCCGGAAGAAATCCATGAAAAGCTAGAAGGTTTTAATAATCGTTAGAGTGCATATTCGCTTCTAAGATATTTATATTTATATCTCCAGTCAGATATATATTTTTATACTCCTTAAGAGTTTCTATAGTATTATTAAGGGAGTTAAGAAAGTTCTCTATGTTCCGATAAGAGGGTGGGCGATAGATAGCTATTATACAAGTCTGATTTGGCAACTTAACAATTAGACAGTTTGCATCAAGAAATGGTGGTTCTACTATATCGCTAGTAATTGAGTCTTTGACGTATATTACAACTCCTTCGTTTTGAGTACTATTTTTTCAAGGTATGATAACATTTATAGTGCTTAAGAGCCGGTGGATCCGAGTTACCTTGCAACCAACACTCCGTAAGTACTATTATATCGACGTTAAAGTTAAGACTTGCTAATAATACTTCTATTTGATTTATGTTACGAAAAACACTTCGGATATTTTGAGATAAAACTATTAATTGGTTATTATGAGGTAGGCAATTTTTAACTTCCTCAACACTTCAGATGCACGAACTAGCCGGACGATACGAATCAATGCTATTAGAAACATCTTCATTTGGCCTGCCTTGGCCGGTATTTATTTAAGGACATACTCCTTGAAACTTACATGCTATTTAAAGAAATAAAGCCTTCATTGAGGAATGTGTAAAAATAATAATACTTATTCAAAAATAACATAGGATCAAACTGGTAACAGAAGCTTATAAGTGTTACAAGGTCAACTTCTGAGGTGATACGAATTATTGGAGATCCATCTCCGTCTTGTTGCGAAGGAAAACTTTCCCGAAAGATGTCCAGCAATACTTATATCGATGAAGTACTGAGAGCTCTCTGGCTAGGAAAAATAGACGCTTGGCTTTGGGGGTGAGGTTTTCTGAAATATATATTGGTAGTTTTGGCCCATCGATATTTGGCTGAGGGTGTTCAGTTTTGCGGCATTGCCTTTTTTGTTAAACGTTTTATTTGATTGTAAAAAAATTCCTTTGTTAACACTGTCGTAAATTCAGCACTTATTGTTTTTTGTGTTTTAGAATGGACACGAAACACGTCTTATATATCTGACGGTTGAATGGAAGCATTTATGGTTTCACCCAATTTTACTGTGATCTTAATTAAATCTTGCTTTGTTTCATTCATTTTTTGGGGTACATTTCTGATTTCGACACTGTCGTGGTTGAATATGAAATTTAAGCTGTAAGCATAAGTCAGATCTAGAGTGAGTGCTAAATGTTTTTTTTATCTGGAATGGTAATTTCTTTTTCACAGGAATATTCGAATTCTTTCATGGGTTTGTCATCAAAATTTATAACGTTTGGTAGCCTATCTATTCTTTTATTTGCAGGGTTTGTGATATTTTTTAAGCTTTGTGGTTTATGGTTACTTGTTATTTCATTATAAGATTTACGAGTATCTGCATCCATGACCCCTTTATGAGATGTAGTAGGATCTGTTTGCAGGTCAAATAATAGACTATATGGTCCTGATTCATTGCTCTCGTTATCTTCGGAAAACTGTTGTGTAATTATGTATTTAATAAAACTTTTTGTCGTTTTGTCTACTTTAAGATCTTGCTTTTTTCTGATTTCATTTAATTTTTCTCGCAAATCTAAAATTATAGGGTTCTGTTAATAACCTTTTCTAAATTAATACTCATTTTAGGTATAATACTTTGATAAGAGGTATGAAATATTCTATCAGCTATGTCATGATTTGATGGACTTTCTGCCGTTTGTATTCTTTTATTAATATCTATTGATTTTATTTCACCAGAACGTAAACTCTTAATCAATGAATAATCCTTGAAGCATACTCCATTAATATTTAAAGATCTAGACTTGACACTTCTACGAGGGCGGCACTGAAAATGTCGGGAATCAAGGAAGTGACACCTCATTGCTATTTAAAAATGTATTTATTGCTTTTAATTTGACACTTTTTTTCCATACGATGGAACCAATCATTGCAGCAACCATTCCATTCGGAAGTTGGGGTCTCCAAAATGGCCATTTTGTAGGCGTCCACAGCTTCTTCAGGTAATGAAAATCTCTGTCCACGCAATTTATTCTTTATTTTAGGGAAAGTATAGAAATAATTAGGGCTTAGGTCGGGGCTGTACTAATTCTATTTTCTCAACGACTAAACAAGTTTGACAAAGCCTTGTGACAAGACCGAGAATCTTTTTTTTAAATAAATAAATGGTATTCGATTTTTAAAAGCAATGACTTTTCAATTAAAAAAGATTTTAATATGACAGGAACAGTGGAAATATTCCATTCCCGATACTTTTAGTGTAGCCTAGGTATCGACGGGAATATTAGACTTAATCGTGAGGGATAGTTTCGTCCTTTATAACACTTAACCGCCGTTTTTTCACTCTGCCATTTCGGTAAAAGCTTAAAACAAATTGAATTCGTAAAATTTATATCATCATATTTTCAAGACGCCGTTTCACGGCGAAGGCCCGATCAATACTCTAACTGTAAAACAGTTAGAGTAGCATACCATTCTACATTAACCGTTCTTAGTCCCTCAAGAGAAATATTCGTAACATGGCCGGTTTTGGAGACAAACGTAGACACCATTTTTTTTGAAACACCGTGAACGAACAATTTTTGTTGGCTTTAACTCATTTTCGAACACCCAAACTCGTGACTGGTTTTTTGTTTCGGGTTTATCGGGTTTCGGGTAATCAAGTACTATTATATCGACGTTAAAGTTAAGACTTGCTAATAATACTTCTATTTGATTTATGTTACAAAAAACAATGTTACAAATCTACTCTCGTGCTTCTTCTGCCACACCCAACTTTCACTACCATACGTTAAAGTAGGGACCAACACAGCATTGTGAATTGCCATACGTGCCTTTTTTGACACATTTTGACTCTTCACAATAGAGTGCAGGGCCCCATTTACTCTGTTTCCTGCGTTCACTCGTCGTTCTATATCCTTATCATATCTCCCATCCCTGCTAAATACGCAACCCAAATATACAAACTCATCTACTTGCTCGATCAACTCTCCATCTATTCTTATTTCACATATCGTTTTACTTTCATCTCTTTCAAAAACCATAATTTTCGTCTTACTTGCGTTCACTTTCATACCCCTTTCTTTTAATGATCTGTTCATTAATGTAACCATCATTTGCAACTCAGCCGTCGACGACGCAAGAATAACTTGATCATCGGCGTACAAAAGGCATTTGATAGTTAACTCACCCATTCTTAATCCGCATTCTTCAACTTTCAAATTTTGCAAACAACTGTCCATAAATAGGTTGAACAACCACGGGGAAGCCACACAGCCCTGTCTGACACCTTTATGGATGCCAAACCAGTCGGAGTAGCCCCGTTGATCCTAACACAAGCACTAGAGTCCCTGTAAAGAGATTCCAATGCCTGTATCAAGCCAGCGCTCAACCCAAATGAGTTCAGTGTTCACATTCCTATCCACTCTGTCATAGGCCTTCTCCAAGTCCATGAACGCACAAAAAACCTTTTGGTTTTTGGCCAATAACTTGTCCGCGATCATGCGCATGGAGAAGACTTAATCTGTACATCCCATTCCCTTTCTAAATCCCGCTTGCACATCCCAAATTTTTCCATCGGTTTCTTTCATGACCCTTTCAATTAGTACCTTGGCATACAATTTTCCCACGATGCTAAGAAGGCTGATACCGCGGTAGTTTTTACAGTCCTGCTGCGACCCTTTTCCCTTATATACTGGGACTATCACGGCTTTGCACCAGTCTCCCGGTACCCGCTTCAGTTCCCAGCATACATTAAACAAGGTGTGCAGCAGGCCTGCCACCACTTCCTCTTCAGCCCTTAGCATTTCGAGTGAAAATCTATCATAACCGGCAGCCTTACCTGCTTTCATGCTTTTCATTGCTTTCATTATTTCATCTATACTTATCTCGCTACCTCCTTCCTCTTCTTTCGGAGTTCCTATTTCATTCAGTTCATACGTTGTCTCCTCACTCATAAACATGCTTTCAAAATATTCCTTCCATCTCTTTAAACTCAAAACTTCATCATTCAGAATATAGCCATTCTCATCTCTTATAGCATTCATTATAGGCTGTTTTGAACGCCCCTGGCAGTTCTTACGAGTTTCCAGAACATTTTAATATTTGCCTGGAAGTTATCCGATATTCTTCTATCATTCTTATCCGTTCTTTCTTGCTTTTTCCTTTCAACTACTTCTTTTACTCTTTTATTTAGATGTCTAAGGACTGCCTTTTTTCTTTCAAAATCATCATTCGTACCGCTAGAATTACCAGCCTTAGTTGCTAGTAAATCTAGCCATGCTCTCTTCTTTGCTTCAACTTCCGTACGTATCTCATCATCCCACCACAAAGTATTATTTTTCCTTTCATTTTTTCTTTTACTAACACCACATACTTCGGTAGCTGCATCTAATAAACCTTTCTTAACATTTTGCCATACATTCTCCAAGTCTAACTCATTCATACATAATTCATCCAAACCACTTACGTTTTCTTTCAGTCTACATTTAAACTTGTTTTTCTCACCTTTATCTTGTAATCTTTCTGTTCTAATACGCTGTAACGCAGAGGTAGACACAGATGACCGATGGCGCCACCGCCTGAATAGACCATTAATTCGGCATAAAACCAAAAAAATGATCCGTTCCTACGTTTAACCCCCGGTAAACACTTGTATCCACCACTGCGCCCTTCAATCTTTCATCCACAATTATGAAATCTATCATGCTTCTATCATCACCTCTTTCCCAAGTGTACATGTGAATCCTCTTGTGGCGAAAGAAAGTGTTCGTCACAAAAAAGATTCTTTTCTATACATACAGTGAGGAGGCTTTCACCATTCTCATTTATACTTTCATCACCAAACGTTCCCAATACCCTTTCATAACCAAGCCTCCTCACACCAACTCTTCCATTAAAATCTCCTAGCATAACAACATTTTCATTTCCCTTACATTTCATTAATACCATCCTTACCATTTCCCAAAACTGCTCTCGGATATGAGTGGGCTTAGACATGTCTGGGGCGTAGACCCCTAGCACAAACAACTTCTTTAAGCCCACTTTCAATCGTATCCATAGCAGTCTTGGGCTTACACATTCATACTTTTTCACACATTGCACCATTCTTTCTGATAGGATGATACCTACTCCCTGGCATGCCAGCTCGAGCTCGTCTACACCAGTGTAAAAATAATAATACTTATTCAAAAATAACATAGGATCAAACTGGTAACAGAAGCTTATAAGTGTTACAAGGTCAACTTCTGAGGTGATACGAATTATTGGAGATCCATCTTAATCCGTCTTGTTGCGAAGGAAAACTTTCCCGAAAGATGTCCAGCAATACTTACATCGATGATGTACTGAGAGCTCTCTGGCTAGGAAAAATAGACGCTTGGCTTTGGGGGTGAGGTTTTCTGAAATATATATATTGGTAGTAAATATATATTGGTAGTTTTGGCCCATCGATATTTAGCTGGGGTGTGTCCAATTTTGCGGCATTGCCTTTTTTGTTAAACGTTTTATTTGATTGTAAAAAAATTCCTTTGTTAACACTGTCGTAAATTCAGCAATTATTGTTTTTTGTGTTTTAGAATGGACACGAAACACGTCTTTTATATCTGACGGTTGAATGGAAGCATTTATGGTTTCACCCAATTTTACTATGATCTTAATTAAATCTTGCTTTGTTTCATTCATTATTTGGGGTACATTTCTGATTTCGACACTGTCGTGGGTGAATATGAAATTTAAGCTGTAAGCATAAGTCAGATCTAGAGTGAGTGCTAAATGTTTTTTTATCTGGAATGGTAATTTCTCTTTCACAGGAATATTCGAATTCTTTCATGGGTTTGTCATCAAAATTTATAACGTTTGGTAGCCTGTCTATTCTTTTATTTGCAGGGTTTGTGATATTTTTTAAGCTTTGTGGTTTATGGTTACTTATTATTTCATGATAAGATTTACGAGTATCTGCATCCATGACCCCTTTATGAGATGTAGTAGGATCTGTTTGCAGGTCAAATAATAGACTATATGGTCCTGATTCATTGCTCGCGTTATCTTCGGAAAACTGTTGTGTAATTATGTATTTAATAAAATTTTTGTCGTTTTGTCTACTTTAAGATCTTGCTTTTTTTTTGATTTCATTTAATTTTTCTCGCAAATCTAAAATTCTAGGGTTCTGTTCAATAACCTTTTCTAAATTAATACTCATTTTAGGTATAATACTTTGATAAGAGGTATGAAATATTCTATCAGCTATGTCATGATTTGATGTACTTTCTGCCGTTTGTATTCTTTTACGAATATCTATTGATTTTATTTCACCAGAACGTAAACTCTTAATCAATGAATAATCCTTGAAGCATACTCCATTAATATTTAAAGATCTAGACTTGACACTTCTACGAGGGCGGCACTGAAAATGTCGGGAATCAAGGAAGTGACACCTCATTGCTGTTTAAAAATGTATTTATTGCTTTTAATTTGACACTTTTTTCCATACGATGGAACCAATCATTGCAGCAACCATTCCATTCAATAGTTGGGGTCTCCAAAATGGCCATTTTGTAGGCGTCCACAGCTTCTTCAGGTGATGAAAATCTCTGTCCACGCAATTTATTCTTTATTTTAGGGAAAGTATAGAAATAATTAGGGCTTAGGTCGGGGCTGTACTAATTCTATTTTCTCAACGACTAAACAAGTTTGACAAAGCCTTGTGACAAGACCGACAATCTTTTTTTTAAATAAATAAATGGTATTCGATTTATAAAACCAAGGATTTTTCAATTAAAAAGATTTTAATATGACAGGAACAGTGGAAATATTACATTCCCGATACTTTTAGTGTAGCCTAGGTATCGACGGGAATATTAGACTTAATCGTGAGGGATAGTTTCGTCCTTTATAACACTTAACCGCCGTTTTTTCACTCTGCCATTTCGGTAAAAGCTTAAAACAAATTGAATTCGTAAAATTTATATCATCACATTTTCAAGACGCCGTTTCACGCCGAAGGCCCGATCAATACTCTAACTGTAAAACAGTTAGAGTAGCATACCATTCTACATTAACCGTTCTTAGTGCCTCAAGAGGAATAGTCGTAACATGGCCGGTTTTGGAGACAAACGTGGACACCATTTTTTTTTGAAACACCTTGAACGAACAATTTTTGTTGGCTTTAACTCATTTTCGAACACCCAAACTCGTGACTGGTTTTTTGTTTCGGGTTTATCGGGTTTCGAGTAATCAAGTACTATTATATCGACGTTAAAGTTAAGACTTGCTAATAATACTTCTATTTGATTTATGTTACAAAAACACTTCGGATATTTTGAGATAAAACTATTAATTGGTTATTATGAGGTAGGCAATTTTTAACTTCCTCAACACTGCAGATGCACGTACTAGCCGGACGATACGAATCAATTTTATTAGAAACATCTTCATTTGGCCTGCCTTGGCCGGTATTTATTTAAGGACATACTCCTTGAAACTTACATGCTATTTAAAGAAATAGAGCCTTCATTGAGGAATGTGTAAAAATAACAATACTTATTCAAAAATAACATAGGATCAAACTGGTAAAAGAAGCTTATAAGTGTTACAAGGTCAACTTCTGAGGTGATACGAATTATTGGAGATCCATTTTCTTTGCGAAGGAAAACTTTCCCGAAAGATGTCCAGCAATACTTATATCGATGATGTACTGAGAGCTCTCTGGCTAGGAAAAATAGACGCTTGGCTTTGGGGGTGAGGTTTTCTGAAATATATATTGGTAGTTTTGGCCCATCGATATTTAGCTGGGGGGTGTCCAATTTTGCGGCATTGCCTTTTTTTGTTAAACGTTTTATTTGATTGTAAAAAAATTCCTATGTTAACACTGTCGTAAATTCAGCAATTATTGTTTTTTGTGTTTTAGAATGGACACGAAACACGTCTTTTATATCTGACGGTTGAATGGAAGCATTTATGGTTTCACCCAATTTTACTATGATCTTAATTAAATCTTGCTTTGTTTCATTCATTTTTTGGGGTACATTTCTGATTTCGACACTGTCGTGGGTGAATATGAAATTTAAGCTGTAAGCATAAGTCAGATCTAGAGTGAGTGCTAAATGTTTTTTTATCTGGAATGGTAATTTCTTTTTCACAGGAATATTCGAATTCTTTCATGGGTTTGTCATCAAAACTTATAACGTTTGGTAGCCTGTCTATTCTTTTATTTGCAGGGTTTGTGATATTTTTTAAGCTTAGTGGTTTATGGTTACTTATTATTTCATGATAAGATTTACGAGTATCTGCATCCATGACCCCTTTATGAGATGTAGTAGGATCTGTTTGCAGGTCAAATAATAGACTATATGGTACTGATTCATTGCTCTCGTTATCTTCGGAAAACTGTTGTGTAATTATGTATTTAATAACACTTTTAGTCGTTTTGTCTACTTTAAGATCTTGCTTTTTTCTGATTTCATTTAATTTTTCTCGCAAATCTAAAATTCTAGGGTTCTGTTCAATAACCTTTTCTAAATTAATACTCATTTTAGGTATAATACTTTGATAAGAGGTATGAAATATTCTATCAGCTATGTCATGATTTGATGTACTTTCCGCCGTTTGTATTCTTTTACGAATATCTATTGATTTTATTTCACCAGAAAGTAAACTCTTAATCAATTAATAATCCTTGAAGCATACTCCATTAATATTTAAAGATCTAGACTTGACACTTCTACGAGGGCGGCACTGAAAATGTCGGGAATCAAGGAAGTGACACAACATTGCTATTTAAAAATGTATTTATTGCTTTTAATTTGACACTTTTTTCCATACGATGGGACCAATCATTGAAGCAACCATTCCATTCGGAATTTGGGGTCTCCAAAATGGCCGTTTTGTAGGCGTCCACAGCTTCTTCAGGTGATGAAAATCTCTGTCCACGCAATTTATTCTTTATTTTAGGGAAAGTATAGAAATAAATTAGGTCGGGGCTGTACTAATTCTATTTTCTCAACGACTAAACAAGTTTGACAAAGCCTTGTGACAAGACCGAGAATCTTTTTTTAAATAAATAAATGGTATTCGATTTTTAAAACCAAGGAGTTTTCAATTAAAAAGATTTTAATATGACAGGAACAGTGGAAATATTCCATTCCCGATACTTTTAGTGTAGCCTAGGTATCGACGGGAATATTAGACTCAATCGTGAGGGATAGTTTCGTCCTTTATAACACTTAACCGCCGTTTTTTCACTCTGCCATTTCGGTAAAAGCTTAAAACAAATTGAATTCGTAAAATTTATATCATCATATTTTCAAGACGCCGTTTCACGGCGAAGGCCCGATCAATACTCTAACTGTAAAACAGTTAGAGTAGCATACCATTCTACATTAACCGTTCTTAGTCCCTCAAGAGAAATATTCGTAACATGGCCGGTTTTGGAGACAAACGTGGACACCATTTTTTTTTGAAACACCGTGAACGAACAATTTTTGTTGGCTTTAACTCATTTTCGAACACCCAAACTCGTGACTGGTTTTTTGTTTCGGGTTTATCGGGTTTCGGGTAATCAAGTACTATTATATCGACGTTAAAGTTAGGACCTGCTAATAATACTTCTATTTGATTTATGTTAGCAAAAAACACTTCGGATATTTTGAGATAAATCTATTAATTGGTTATTATGAGGTAGGCAATTTTTAACTTCCTCAACACTGCAGATGCACGAACTAGCCGGACGATACGAATCAATGCTATTAGAAACATCTTAATTTGGCCTGCCTTGGCCAGTATTTATTTAAGGACATACTCCCTGAAACTTACATGCTATTTAAAGAAATAGAGCCTTCATTGAGGAATGTGTAAAAATAATAATACTTATTCAAAAATAACATAGGATCAAACTGGTAACAGAAGCTTATAAGTGTTACAAGGTCAACTTCTGAGGTGATACGAATTATTGGAGATCCATCTTCTTTGCGAAGGAAAACTTTCCCGAAAGATGTCCAGCAATACTTATATCGATGATGTACTGAGAGCTCTCTGGCTAGGAAAAATAGACGCTTAGCTTTGGGGGTGAGGTTTTCTGAAATATATATTGGTAGTTTTGGCCCATCGATATTTAGCTGGGTGGTGTCCAATTTTGCGGCATTGCCTTTTTTGTTAAACGTTTTATTTGATTGTAAAAAATTCCTATGTTAACACTGTCGTAAATTCAGCAATTATTGTTTTTTGTGTTTTAGAATGGACACGAAACACGTCTTTTATATCTGACGGTTGAATGGAAGCATTTATGGTTTCACCCAATTTTACTATGATCTTAATTAAATCTTGCTTTGTTTCATTCATTTTTTGGGGTACATTTCTGATTTCGACACTGTCGTGGGTGAATATGAAATTTAAGCTGTAAGCATAAGTCAGATCTAGAATGAGTGCTAAATGTTTTTTTATCTGGAATGGTAATTTCTTTTTCACAGGAATATTCCAATTCTTTCATGGGTTTGTCATCAAAATTTATAACGTTTGGTAGCCTGTCTATTCTTTTATTTGCAGGGTTTGTGATAATTTTTTAAGCTTTGTGGTTTATAGTTACTTATTATTTCATTATAAGATTTACGAGTATCTGCATCCATGACCCCTTTATGAGATGTAGTAGGATCTGTTTGCAGGTCAAATAATAGACTATATGGTCCTGATTCATTGCTCTCGTTATCTTCGGAAAACTGTTGTGTAATTATGTATTTAATAACACTTTTAGTCGTTTTGTCTACTTTAAGATCTTGCTTTTTTCTGATTTCATTTAATTTTTCTCGCAAATCTAAAATTCTAGGGTTCTGTTCAATAACCTTTTCTAAATTAATACACATTTTAGGTATAATACTTTGATAAGAGGTATGAAATATTCTATCAGCTATGTCATGATTTGATGTACTTTCTGCCGTTTGTATTCTTTTACGAATACCTATTGATTTTATTTCACCAGAATGTAAACTCTTAATCAATGAATAATCCTTGAAGCATACTCCATTAATATTTAAAGATCTAGACTTGACACTTCTACGAGGCCGGCACTGAAAATGTCGGGAATCAAGGAAGTGACACGACATTGCTATTTAAAAATGTATTTATTGCCTTTAATTTGACACTTTTTTCCATACGATGGGACCAATCATTGAAGCAACCATTCCATTCGGAATTTGGGGTCTCCAAAATGGCCGTTTTGTAGGCGTCCACAGCTTCTTCAGGTGATGAAAATCTCTGTCCACGCAATTTATTCTTTATTTTAGGGAAAGTATAGAAATAATTAGGGCTTAGGTCGGGGCTGTACTAATTCTATTTTCTCAACGACTAAACAAGTTTGACAAAGCCTTGTGACAAGACCGAGAATCTTTTTTTTAAATAAATAAATGGTATTCGATTTTTAAAACCAAGGAGTTTTCAATTAAAAAGATTTTAATATGACAGGAACAGTGGAAATATTCCATTCCCGATACTTTTAGTGTAGCCTAGGTATCGACGGGAATATTAGACTTAATCGTGAGGGATAGTTTCGTCCTTTATAACACTTAACCGCCGTTTTTTCACTCTGCCATTTCGGTAAAAGCTTAAAACAAATTGAATTCGTAAAACTTATATCATCATATTTTCAAGACGCCGTTTCACGGCGAAGGCCCGATCAATACTCTAACTGTAAAACAGTAGAGTAGCATACCATTCTACATTAACCGTTCTTAGTCCCTCAAGAGAAATATTCGTAACATGGCCGGTTTTGGAGACAAACGTGGACACCATTTTTTTTTGATACACCGTGAACGAACAATTTTTGTTGGCTTTAACTCATTTTCGAACACCCAAACTCGTGACTGGTTTTTTGTTTCGGGTTTATCGGGTTTCGGGTAATCAAGTACTATTATATCGACGTTAAAGTTAAGACTTGCTAATAATACTTCTATTTGATTTATGTTACAAAAAACACTTCGGATATTTTGAGATAAAACTATTAATTGGTTATTATGAGGTAGGCAATTTTTAACTTCCTCAACACTGCAGATGCACGAACTAGCCGGACGATACGAATCAATGCTATTAGAAACATCTTCATTTGGCCTGCCTTGGCCGGTATTTATTTAAGGACATACTCCCTGAAACTTACATGCTATTTAAAGAAATGGAGCCTTCATTGAGGAATGTGTAAAAATAATAATACTTATTCAAAAATAACATAGGATCAAACTGGTAACAGAAGCTTATAAGTGTTACAAGGTCAACTTCTGAGGTGATACGAATTATTGAGATCCATTCTTTGCGAAGGAAAACTTTCCCGAAAGATGTCCAGCAATACTTATATCGATGATGTACTGAGAGCTCTCTGGCTAGGAAAAATAGACGCTTGGCTTTGGGGGTGAGGTTTTCTGAAATATATATTGGTAGTTTTGGCCCATCGATATTTAGCTGGGGGGTGTCCAATTTTGCGGCATTGTCTTTTTTGTTAAACGTTTTATTTGATTGTAAAAAATTCCTATGTTAACACTGTCGTAAATTCAGCAATTATTGTTTTTTGTGTTTTAGAATGGACACGAAACACGTCTTTTATATCTGACGGTTGAATGGAAGCATTTATGGTTTCACCCAATTTTACTATGATCTTAATTAAATCTTGCTTTGTTTCATTCATTTTTTGGGGTACATTTCTGATTTCGACACTGTCGTGGGTGAATATGAAATTTAAGCTGTAAGCATAAGTCAGATCTAGAGTGAGTGCTAAATGTTTTTTTATCCGGAATGGTAATTTCTTTTTCACAGGAATATTCGAATTCTTTCATGGGTTTGTCATCAAAACTTATAACGTTTGGTAGCCTGTCTATTCTTTTATTTGCAGGGTTTGTGATATTTTTTAAGCTTTGTGGTTTATGGTTACTTATTATTTCATTATAAGATTTACGAGTATCTGCATCCATGACCCCTTTATGAGATGTAGTAGGATCTGTTTGCAGGTCAAATAATAGACTATATGGTCCTGATTCATTGCTCTCGTTATCTTCGGAAAACTGTTGTGTAATTATGTATTCAATAACACTTTTAGTCGTTTTGTCTACTTTAAGATCTTGCTTTTTTCTGATTTCATTTAATTTTTCTTGCAAATCTAAAATTCTAGGGTTCTGTTCAATAACCTTTTCTAAATTAATACTCATTTTAGGTATAATACTTTGATAAGAGGTATGAAATATTCTATCAGCTATGTCATGATTTGATGTACTTTCTGCCGTTTGTATTCTTTTACGAATATCTATTGATTTTATTTCACCAGAACGTAAACTCTTAATCAATGAATAATCCTTGAAGCATACTCCATTAATATTTAAAGATCTAGACTTGACACTTCTACGAGGCGGCACTGAAAATGTCGGGAATCAAGGAAGTGACACAACATTGCTATTTAAAAATGTATTTATTGCTTTAATTTGACACTTTTTTCCATATGATGGACCAATCATTGAAGCAACCATTCCATTCGGAATTTGGGGTCTCCAAAATGGCCGTTTTGTAGGCGTCCACAGCTTCTTCAGGTGATGAAAATCTCTGTCCACGCAATTTATTCTTTATTTTAGGGAAAGTATAGAAATAATTAGGGCTTAGGTCGGGGCTGTACTAATTCTATTTTCTCAACGACTAAACAAGTTTGACAAAGCCTTGTGACAAGACCGAGAATCTTTTTTTAAATAAATAAATGGTATTCGATTTTTAAAACCAAGGAGTTTTCAATTAAAAAAGATTTTAATATGACAGGAACAGTGGAAATATTCCATTTCCGATACTTTTAGTGTAGCCCAGGTATCGACGGGAATATTAGACTTAATCGTGAGGGATAGTTTCGTCCTTTATAACACTTAACCGCCGTTTTTTCACTCTGCCATTTCGGTAAAAGCTTAAAACAAATTGAATTCGTAAAACTTATATCATCATATTTTCAAGACGCCGTTTCACGGCGAAGGCCCGATCAATACTCTAACTGTAAAACAGTTAGAGTAGCATACCATTCTACATTAACCGTTCTTAGTCCCTCAAGAGAAATATTCGTAACATGGCCGGTTTTGGAGACAAACGTGGACACCATTTTTTTTATGAAACACCGTGAATGAACAATTTTTGTTGGCTTTAACTCATTTTCGAACACCCAAACTCGTGACTGGTTTTTTGTTTCGGGTTTATCGGGTTTCGGGTAATCAAGTACTATTATATCGACGTTAAAGTTAAGACTTGCTAATAATACTTCTATTTGATTTATGTTACAAAAAACACTTCGGATATTTTGAGATAAAACTATTAATTGGTTATTATGAGGTAGGCAATTTTTAACTTCCTCAACACTGCAGATGCACGAACTAGCCGGACGATACGAATCAATGCTATTAGAAACATCTTCATTTGGCCTGCCTTGGCCGGTATTTATTTAAGGACATACTCCCTGAAACTTACATGCTATTTAAAGAAATAGAGCCTTCATTGAGGAATGTGTAAAAATAATAATACTTATTCAAAAATAACATAGGTTCAAACTGGTAACAGAAGCTTATAAGTGTTACAAGGTCAACTTCTGAGGTGATACGAATTATTGGAGATCCATCTTCTTTGCGAAGGAAAACTTTCCCGAAAGATGTCCAGCAATACTTATATCGATGAAGTACTGAGAGCTCTCTGGCTAGGAAAAATAGACGCTTGGCTTTGGGGGTGAGGTTTTCTGAAATATATATTGGTAGTTTTGGCCCATCGATATTTAGCTGGGGGGTGTCCAATTTTACGGCATTGCCTTTTTTGTTAAACGTTTTATTTGATTGTAAAAAAATTCCTATGTTAACACTGTCGTAAATTCAGCAATTATTGTTTTTTGTGTTTTAGAATGGACACGAAACACGTCTTTTATATCTGACGGTTGAATGGAAGCATTTATGGTTTCACCCAATTTTACTATGATCTTAATTAAATCTTGCTTTGTTTCATTCATTTTTTTGGGGTACATTTCTGATTTCGACACTGTCGTGGGTGAATATGAAATTTAAGCTGTAAGCATAAGTCAGATCTAGAGTGAGTGCTAAATGTTTTTTTTATCTGGAATGGTAATTTCATTTTCACAGGAATATTCGAATTCTTTCATGGGTTTGTCATCAAAACTTATAACGTTTGGTAGCCTGTCTATTCTTTTATTTGCAGGGTTTGTGATAATTTTTTAAGCTTTGTGGTTTATGGTTACTTATTATTTCATGATAAGATTTACGAGTATCTGCATCCATGACCCCTTTATGAGATGTAGTAGGATCTGTTTGCAGGTCAAATAATACACTATATGGTCCTGATTCATTGCTCTCGTTGTCTTCGGAAAACTGTTGTGTAATTATGTATTTAATAACACTTTTAGTCGTTTTGTCTACTTTAAGATCTTGCTTTTTTCTGATTTCATTTAATTTTTCTCGCAAATCTAAAATTCTAGGGTTCTGTTCAATAACCTTTTCTAAATTAATACACATTTTAGGTATAATACTTTGATTAAGAGATATGAAATATTCTATCAGCTATGTCATTATTTGATGTACTTTCTGCCGTTTGTATTCTTTTACGAATATCTATTGATTTTATTTCACCAGAATGTAAACTCTTAATCAATGAATAATCCTTGAAGCATACTCCATTAATATTTAAAGATCTAGACTTGACACTTCTACGAGGGCGGCACCGAAAATGTCGGGAATCAAGGAAGTGACACAAAATTGCTATTTAAAAATGTATTTATTGCTTTTAATTTGACACTTTTTTCCATACGATGGAACCAATCATTGAAGCAACCATTCCATTCGGAAGTTGGGGTCTCCAAAATGGCCGTTTTGTAGGCGTCCACAGCTTCTTCAGGTGATGAAAATCTCTGCCCACGCAATTTATTCTTTATTTTAGGGAAAGTATAGAAATAATTAGGGCTTAGGTCGGGGCTGTTCTAATTCTATTTTCTCAACGACTAAACAAGTTTGACAAAGCCTTGTGACAAGACCGAGAATCTTTTTTTAAATAAATAAATGGTATTCGATTTTTAAAACCAAGGAGTTTTCAATTAAAAAGATTTTAATAAGACAGGAACAGTGGAAATATTCCATTCCCGATACTTTTAGTGTAGCCTAGGTATCGACGGGAATATTAGACTTAATCGTGAGGGATAGTTTCGTCCTTTATAACACTTAACCGCCGTTTTTTCACTCTGCCACTTCGGTAAAAGCTTAAAACAAATTGAATTCGTAAAATTTATATCATCATATTTTCAAGACGCCGTTTCACGGCGAAGGCCCGATCAATACTCTAACTGTAAAACAGTTAGAGTAGCATACCATTCTACATTAACCGTTCTTAGTCCCTCAAGAGAAATATTCGTAACATGGCCGGTTTTGGAGACAAACGTGGACACCATTTTTTTTTGAAACACCGTGAACGAACAATTTTTGTTGGCTTTAACTCATTTTCGAACACCCAAACTCGTGACTGGTTTTTTGTTTCGGGTTTATCGGGTTTCGGGTAATCAAGTACTATTATATGGACGTTAAAGTTAAGACTTGCTAATAATACTTCTATTTGATTTATGTTACAAAAAAACACTTCGGATATTTTGAGATAAAACTATTAATTGGTTATTATGAGGTAGGCAATTTTTAACTTCCTCAACACTGCAGATGCACGAACTAGCCGGACGATACGAATCAATGCTATTAGAAACATCTTCATTTGGCCTGCCTTGGCCGGTATTTATTTAAGGACATACTCCCTTGAAACTTACATGCTATTTAAAGAAATAGAGCCTTCATTGAGGAATGTGTAAAAATAATAATACTTATTCAAAAATAACATAGGATCAAACTGGTAACGGAAGCTTATAAGTGTTACAAGGTCAACTTCTGAGGTGATACGAATTATTGGAGATCCATCTTCTTTGCGAAGGAAAACTTTCCCGAAAGATGTCCAGCAATACTTATATCGATGATGTACTGAGAGCTCTCTGGCTAAGGAAAAATAGACGCTTGGCTTTGGGGGTGAGGTTTTCTGAAATATATATTGGTAGTTTTGGCCCATCGATATTTAGCTGGGGGGTGTCCAATTTTGCGGCATTGCCTTTTTTGTTAAACGTTTTATTTGATTGTAAAAAAATTCCTTTGTTAACACTGTCGTAAATTCAGCAATTATTGTTTTTTGTGTTTTAGAATGGACACGAAACACGTCTTTTATATCTGACGGTTGAATGGAAGCATTTATGGTTTCACCCAATTTTACTATGATCTTAATTAAATCTTGCTTTGTTTCATTCATTTTTTGGGGTACATTTCTGATTTCGACACTGTCGTGGTTGAATATGAAATTTAAGCTTGTAAGCATAAGTCAGATCTAGAGTGAGTGCTAAATGTTTTTTTATCCTGGAATGGTAATTTCTTTTTCACAGGAATATTCGAATTCTTTCATGGGTTTGTCATCAAAACTTATAACGTTTGGTAGCCTGTCTATTCTTTTATTTGCAGGGTTTGTGATATTTTTTAAGCTTTGTGGTTTATAGTTACTTGTTATTTCATTATAAGATTTAACGAGTATCTGCATCCATGACCCCTTTATGAGATGTAGTAGGATCTGTTTGCAGGTCAAATAATAGACTATATGGTCCTGATTCATTGCTCTCGTTATCTTCGGAAAAATGTTGTGTAATTATGTATTTAATAAAACTTTTTGTCGTTTTGTCTACTTTAAGGTCTTGCTTTTTTCTGATTTCATTTAATTTTTCTCGCAAATCTAAAATTCTAGGGTTCTGTTCAATAACCTTTCCTAAATTAATACTCATTTTAGGTATAATACTTTGATAAGAGGTATGAAATATTCTATCAGCTATGTCATGATTTGATGTACTTTCTGCCGTTTGTATTCTTTTACGAATATCTATTGATTTTATTTCACCAGAACGTAAACTCTTAATCAATGAATAATGCTTGAAGCATACTCCATAAATATTTAAAGATCTAGACTTGACACTTCTACGAGGGCGGCACTGAAAATGTCGGGAATCAAGGAAGTGACACAACATTGCTATTTAAAAATGTATTTATTGCTTTTAGAAGTATTCTCCGCGAAATTTGACACTTTTTTCCATACGATGGAACCAATCATTGAAGCAACCATTCCATTCGGAAGTTGGGGTGTCCAAAATGGCCGTTTTGTAGGCGTCCACAGCTTCTTCAGGTGATGAAAATCTCTGTCCACGCAATTTATTCTTTATTTTAGGGAAAGTATAGAAATCATTAGGGCTTAGGTCGCGGCTGCGGCTGTGGATGGTCTAATAATTCTATATTTTCTTTGCTGTAAAAACTCTTTTGTTCTGTGTGCGGTGTGAGATCTCGCATTGTCGTGATGGAGGATCATGCGGCGGTTGCAGTTCTCTTTACGGAGTTCAGAAACGACCTTTGGCAAACAAATGCTATCATACCATTCTGCATTAACCGGTCTTTGTCCCTCAAGAGGAATAGCCGGTTTTGGAGACAAACGTGGCCACCATTTATTTGCAACACTCCGTGAACAAACAATTTTTGTTGGCTTTAACTCATTTTCGAACACCCAAACTCATGAATGGTATTTTGTTTCGAGTTCGTACGCGTATATCCAGAATTCGTCACCTGATGCGATGTTTTATACAGCATTTGAGGATCCTGCGTGGAATCTTTCGAGAGTTCTGACGCACCAAGTAACGCGAGCCGCTTCTTGATCTTCACAGAGCGAATCCGGTATCCAGCAGGAAAACACCTTCTTAACACCCAATTGTTAATGCAAGATTATTTGTATTTGACTCATGCCAATGTCTAAAGTTGCCTGAATTTTGCGGTATGTCACATGTCGATCTTCCTCAATCAGCTTACGCACAGGATCAACGTTTTCTTGGATGACTGCAGTTTTTGGACGACCTTGATGGGGATAATCACTGAGCTTGACACGTCCACGTTGAAACTCAGCAAACCAGCGACAAATTGTGGTTTTGGATTGGGCTTCATCAACAAATGCAGAAATCATCCGGTCAACACACTGTTTTTGTGTTAAACCACTTCGAAAGTCATAATAAATCATCGCTCTTGAATTTTCTCGAGTCAATTCCATTTTCTCAACGACTAAACAAGTTTGACAAAACCTTGTGACAAGACCGAGAATCTTTTTTTAAATAAATAAATGGTATTCGATTTTTAAAACCAAGGAGTTTTCAATTAAAAAGATTTTAATATAACAGGAACAGTGGAAATATTCCATTCCCGATACTTTTAGTGTAGCCTAGGTATCGACAGGAATCTTAGACATAATCGTGAGGGATAGTTTTGTCCTTAATAACACTTAACCGCCGTTTTTCCACTCTGCCATTTCGGTAAAAGCTTAAAACAAATTGAATTCCTAAAATTTATATCATCACATTTTCAAGACGCCGTTTCACGGCAAAGGCCCGATCAATACTCTAACTGTAATACAGTTAGAGTAGCATACCATTATGCATTAACCGTTCTTAGTTCCTCAAGAGGGATAGTCGTAACATGGCCGGTTTTGGAGACAAACGTGGCCACAATTTTTTTTGCAACATTCCGTGAACGAACAATTTTTGTTGGCTTAAACTAATTTTCGAACACCCAAACTCGTGACTGGTTTCTTGTTTGCTTGATGTTTGAACTTGATGCGTGTGAACTCTCGAAAGATTCCACGATGGATCCTCAAATGCTGTATACAACATCGTATCAGGTGACGAATCCTGCATATAGGCGTACGAACTCGAAACAAAAAACCAGTCACGAGTTTGGGTGTTCGAAAATGAGTTAAAGCCAACAAAAATTGTTCGTTCACGGAGTGTTGCAAAAACAATGGTGGCCACGTTTGTCTCCAAAAACGGCTATTCCTCTTGAGGGACAAAGAACGGTTACATGCAGAATGGTATGATAGCATTTGTTTGCCACAGGTCGTTTCTGAACTCCGTAAAGAGAACTGCAACCGCCGCATGATCCTCCATCACGACAATGCGAGTTCTCACACCGCACACAGAACAAAAGAGTTTTTACAGCAAAGAAAACATAGAATTATTAGACCATTTGCCGTCAGCCCCGACCTAAGCCCTAATGATTTCTATACTTTCCCTAAAATAAAGAATAAATTGCGTGGACAGAGATTTTCATCACCTGAAGAAGCTGTGGACGCCTACAAAATGGCCATTTTGGAGACCGCAACTTCTGAATGGAATGGTTGCTTCAATGATTGGTTCCATCGTATGGAAAAAAGTGTCAAATTTCGCGGAGAATACTTCTAAAAGCAATAAATACATTTTTAAATAGCAATATTGTGTCACTTCCTTGATTCCCGACATTTTCATTGCCACCCTCGTAGAAGTGTCACGTCTAGATCTTTAAATATTAATGGAGTATGCTTCAAGGATTATTCATTGATTAAGAGTTTACGTTCTGGTGAAATAAAATCAATAGATATTCGT